TGGCTTGAAAGCCATGAATCTTCACGCATGATAGCTCATTTCTGAGAACACTTTTTTAAAATAATTGCCATATTACAAGTTTATTATTTTCCTGGAAACTTGGTCATATAAATGACACAATGCGAAGGTTTCCCAATTTTTTGATTTTTTGAATTTTTTATGCCCGTTTCAAAATGCGGTCAAAACGGCGGGCATGACCGTTTCTAGCTAGTGGTTGAATCTTGGAATTTTTTTGCCGTTTCTCTGATTCAATAGGTACTTATGTACCTATAAATGATTTTTGGAAAAAATAAGGAGCAAACTATGAGGCAGCTGCAGTTCAAATTTGACCCGCTTCCTACTGAATCGGTGGGAATTTGTCTTTTTCACCAGAGGTGGATCAAAACTTTTGACACCCAACCATTTTGTCAATTATACATTAAATATGGACTAGTATTTTATAAAATTGATTAGGTCCAATTTTGCAATGAATATATGGTAGGTCCTTCACAAAAAAAACTCATTTCGGGCACTCGGAAAATGGAAAATGAATTTTCCGTGCAAAGAAAATGAAAACTTCCTTAGGCAACATTGTTTGTCATTCCAATATGCACCCTTGTGCACAATATGAGATCATTTGAACAAACTATGCCATGAATGTGGCCGTAAGATTGATCATTTGGCTTGAAAACCATGAATCTTCATGCATGATAGCTCATTTCTGAGAACACTTTTTTTAAAAGAATTGCCGTATTACAAGTTTATTATTTTTCCTGATAACTTGGTCACATATAATGACACAATGCGAAGATTTTGCAATTTTTTGTTTTTTTTTGAATTTTTTATGCCCATTTCAAAATGCGGTCAAAACGACGGGCTTGACCGTTCCTAGCTAGTGGTTGAATCTTGGAAAACTTTTGGTGTTTCTATGATTAAATAGATACTTATGTACCTAGAAAGGATTTTTGGAAAAAAATAAAGAGTAAACTATGAGGCAGCTGCAGTTCAAATTTGATCCTCTTCCAGCTGGATCGGCGAAAATTTGTCTTTTTCACCAGAGGTGGATCAAAACTTTTGACACCCAACCATTTTGTCAATTTTACATTAAATATGGACTAAGGTTTTATAAAATTGATTTGGTCCAAATTTGAAACAAATATATGGTAGGTCCTTCACAAAAAACTCATTTTGGGCACTCGAATAATGGAAAATGATTTTTTGGTGAAAAGAAAATGAAAACTCCCTTTGACAACATTGTTTACCATTTTTCAAGATGCACATTTTTGCACAATATGAGATCATTTAAACAAACTATTCCATAAATATTGCCATAACATTGGTCATCTCACTTGAAAAGCTATGAATCTTCATACATGATAGCTTATTTATGAGAACACCTTTTCAAACTAATTGATGTATTCCAAGTTTTTTATTTTTGTTGATAACTAGGTCAGATATAATGACACAATGCGAAGGTTTAATTTTTTTTTATTTTTTTGAATTTCCTATGCCCGTTTCAAAATGCGATCAAAACGATAAGCATGACCGTTCATAGCTAGGGGTTGAATCTTGCAAAACTTTTGGAGTATCTCTAATGAAATAGATATTTCTATACCTAGAAATGTTTTTTAGAAAAATTGAAGAGCAATCTATCAAGCGGTTATACTTTAAAAATTGACTCGTTTCCAGCTAAATTGGACATAAAATGTGGTCTAATAATTTTTAAAAATGATGTGGTGTCATTTTCCAACAAATATTTGGTAGTTCTTTCATAAAAAACAATCATTGTTGCTCGAAAAATAGACAATGCTTTTCTTGTGAAAAAACTTAATTTTATTAAATTACGACTAATTTAGATGGTCATAACATCTTTAAAGTGTTTACTGCGTTCTGATTGGTCTATAAGTCTCTCACGTGGATCATGCCTCCAACACCGTTGGATACCGCTGGATTCGACGGCAGCCCTCATCCCCCTCACACTCTCACCCCTCGCCCGTCTCACCCCCTCGTCCAAACCCTAGCTTTCCTCGCGCCGCACCCGAGCCGTGCCTCCTTCCCTCCGCACGCCGCCACAGCTCGCCGCCGACGACCTCCACTTCTCTCCCACCCGCCTCTCTCCCACCCCAGACGGATCGCCCAACACATCCATCTGTCCTCTCCTGCAACCCCCCCTCTCTCTCTCCCCACACT